CTTAGTGAGGCGTGATCTTAGGCCCTCATAATGGACGTCTAGGTCAACGTGGCGGTTGATGCTATCCGCGTTAGAGTGCCATGCCTCTAGGAATTCTCTCGCCCGTTTTGTGTTGGCCGTGGCGATGACCTCGGTGTTATCCCAATTAAAACGGTTCGACAATAAGTACTTCCAACAGGTGAAGGGAAGTCCAATGGGCTCCCCAATATCCGGTCTACTCGCCGAACTAGTGCTACAGCGACTAGAACATGAGGTTTTTCAAACTCTCAACCCCAAAATGTGGCTCCGCTATGTAGACGACACCTTTGTCGTAATAAAGAACCGCGACGTCGAAAAGCTACATCAGAGGCTGAATGAAGTCTTTCCGGCCATACAATTTACCCGCGAAGAGGCAGTAGGAGACAGTCTGTCGTTTCTGGACGTGAAAATACAAAGGCTGGATGACGGTAACCTCGCAACCAGCGTCCATAGAAAAGGGTCTGATTCTGAGATCATCCTCAATTATGGAAGCAATCACCCTGGGGCTCACAAAAGAAGCTGCGTCCGAACCCTCTTCCACCGGGCCTACCGGTATTGCAGCAATGAAGATCTGCTGAAGAAAGAACTAGGCTTTCTATATCCGCTATTTCGATCTAACGGATACCCAGTCAGTTTCGTGAAGAACTGCCTCAGACGTCAGGCACAACCTCGAGACCCCTCCTCAGATGGAGAAACCGTGACGCGGAAATTCTTCTCCCTGCCCTATATGCAGGGGACCTCAGAAATGATCGCCCGTCAGATAAGTCAGTTCGGTATTCGCCTTTCCCACAAGCCTGCATCCTCGCTGCGCACAGTCTTAACTCGAGTAAAGGATTCTATCCCCAAAGAGGAACAGACTAACGTCATTTATCGCATTCCGTGTGCCAATTGTCCCTGCGTATATGTTGGTCATACAGGACGACGCCTGGGAACTCGTATTAATGAACACAAACTAGCTGTCCGTCGCCGTGATCCACTGTCCCTCGTCTTTGC